CAATAAACTTATAATCTATAAAACGTAATATTATTATAATATACGGAGTGTTACTTGGAATAACATAATATATCAATTTATATTGTGATATACCTACGTTCAGTTTGTGCGGTGGTTAATCAGCGTGAGCAAATATTTGTAGGTTCTTTTTGGTTTCTTTCGTGTGCAAAAACCGGTGTGTCATTACAGATTTTGAAACGACCCGCCGGCGTTGGAAATGACGTAGTATAGATCTCTGATTTATATAGGGTGTTATTACTAAACCATTATGGTACATAATATGTACCTATTATACTTATTAGGAGTTAGTAAAACATTATATACATAAGTACCTATAACATCATATTATTATAATCAGATAAGAATCAAGCACGTAAGAAAAATGCATGAAACCTTGTAAAACTATATAGGTACGATACAAAAATATGTTATGTGGAAAATAATAAAAATGCGATAAATACGAATCGCATAAGCCTAGGCTTTACAAAATAAAATAAAATATAAGGTTATCTAGTTGATTAGTTGAATTATATTTAGTTTTATTTTAAATTGTAATCATCATATTATTATACTGTATGGCATACTATCGTATAAATTATCATCATCTATCATCATTCACTGTTTATAATATTATAATATTTATGTGTAATCTATCACCGTTTTTATATTATTCCTAATTTCCACGAGTTCCCTTCTACCTCCCGCCCGAAAAGAACTTTTAATCTATCATCTTACTTTCAAAGTATTTTTTTTTTAATTTCGATTTATTGTACCTACATAGACCATTTCTGATGTAATTTTAAAATTTTGAAATAGGGACTGAGGTAATTCACGTGTCTCTAAATTATAGCTAGTATGTTCGGTTTTCTAGTTAGAAAGTTAAACGACTATTTAAAAAAAAAATATGATTTAATCTATTCTCAACGAACAAATTTTACTGCTCGTGACAATAAAGCAGCGGGATCAATTATTATATTTTGAAAGGTATACAAATATTTGATTCGGTGGCTAGAATTCGTTTTAACTGCACCCGTCTAAATAATTCCATAACATACAACTAAGTGTTTTGAATGTGTATCTAATATATATAGGCGCACGTTGAAGTTTTTTGTTTTTTTAAATATGGTTTATTCGATTTAAGTTTATTTATTTTAAGTTTTATAATAGTTCAGAAGACTCTAGATAAATACATATTTATAATTTAGTCATAATAATTTACATAATTAATTGTTAAATTAAAATTAATTATAAAATGCATTCAAAAAATATAAGTACCAATATTAATTTTATTTTATTAATTAATTTTTTTATCAAACAWGCTATCCGCGGCATTTGTGGCCATTGGACGTAACAATACATTTTACAATATTCATAATTATTTAAATAATATCACATACCTAATGAGAAATAAAAAGAAAAAGAAACATATGATGATATTATTGGAATAGCAGGACATGTTATACATTGTTATATAGGTAAAATTACAATTTATTAATAAGTTGCGTTTCTGTTAAAATTGTATAATTCTGAAGATGTTGATTGGTTCAGGGTTGAGTGATTCAGCGAAGTGGTCAGAGATTTGGAGTTGTCTTCTTTCTTTGTCGTAAGTTCTACATTCGGTCAAAAATTAATTTTATAAGTATATTTCCATAATTCAATCGTAATATATTATATATATATAATAATCAAAAAATCAATAAATACTAAATAGTCATAGTCAAACTGTCATGATATTAATAGTCAAAAAACATTTACAAATTTTCAATTGGATTGAATTTATAGAATATTTTTTTTATAAATTACAATCGTGATATTTGACCTAAACTGTATTTGTATATTTTTTCTTTGATAGGCATATTATATATATATAGCAATATAGTTTTTTTTTCTTGGCTAATATAGATTTTTTTCGTTTTAAAATGATTCTTAATTGTATGTAAGAATCATGTAGAACATATTTTTAAGCTTCTATAAACTGATTAAATTACTGCTAACCATAGGTACAATGAATCGTCAATTTAAATACAAGAAAATAATAATATAAAATATTTAATGACACGGACGACCCTACCAGTTGTCCAAAGCGCGTGTATAAGACCGCATTATAAATGTACACAAACTCATACGATTGCAGTATCAGTGGCGTATTTAAGATGGGGGGAGGTTTGGGAGTTCAACCATAAATTATTTCTATATACGACACTGACCTGTATGCTCCTGTAGTATCTAAGAAAAACAAATTTATTGTACGCATTCGACAAATGTATTATAAATGTATAACTATTATTATAAAAATTATAGTTTAGATAAAAATTAATTTAAAAAAATTAGAATAAATTAAGAAAATATAATACATTTTGTTCTTTTTCATAATATTTTATCGTATCGTCTAGACACAAGCCATCACTGGGTAATTGGTAATAGACTCTTAATTATATAGGTACGTTCATTTGCCATGGCAAAAAATATTAGATAACACCTTTAGGTGTATATAGACATTTAGACATATAGTATAGATATACTATAACATAAAATATCTATCAACACATTTAGTTCACCGTAGTCACGGTGACTGGTAGTCAAATCGTCTAGCTGTTACGATTTAATTATGAAGAAAAAAACACGCACCCGTTTWAAAAAATATAATATAGATGTTTCCGCGGTGCTGCATAACATCTATTATATTATACTATTATAGTATCATACCATTGCGCTGTTCACCTCCTACATAATACATATTATAATTTTATGATCACTAATTTTCTTTTTTAGCCATATCGACCGATTATGTAAATGTATAAAATATTATTATATTGGGTATTATAATATACGTTATTATAATGGTTATGATTTACATCAAATATTATTACTAACACTTTATATGCAAACATAGTTTCACGGTTTTATTTTATTTTTTTATACGATAGTTTTAGACTTTTAAATGTATTCGTGTGGTGTCCATACACGTCCTAATAGTGTGTAATGTGTATTCAGKCGTGCATAATAACAATAACATAGTAAGATTTATTCAGAATATAATATGCTGTATGCCTGTATCATGCGTTCGAGCTGTGGCTATGGTGTTATGAATGTTATGATGTTATTGGTGATATAATGTATGTGTACTGTTGTTCACCAGACGTCATCGAATAGGTTATAATGTACCGCACGTCAAACGTGTTTCTATTATAGACATTTTAAGGCTTTGAAGTCACGTGGTACCCATCATGCAGGTTTTGTATAATATATTATGATGTCTAATTCGTATACAAATGTTAATCAAACTGCAGCTAGTACCGAATTTATACAAACTTTAATTGTATAACCAAATATCATAATCATAATACCTAATACCTATGCTGAATTAACGCATATAGTTATGCGCATCCCAATACCTAAAATATAATTGTAGCCACAGCGTGAAAACGGACGGCTACACACACAACACACTACAAGTCTACAATCAACTTTACATTCACTGTTAAAATAATAACGGAAAGAAAAAGAGAGTGACAAAAAACAGATGAAACGAAAAAAATTAGGTAGAAATTCAAACATGGACAGTATTTACCAAGTGTGCCTGGAAACCAACCGACAGTTTGTAATCCGAATCTTTAAATTTAACGGTGGTCGTCATAATCACATGCATTATCAATAATAAAATCAAGTTATCATTTGAACTGCACATACCAATAAATTATATTAAATCAAATTCAATATAATAAAGAAGATTTTTTTGGCATTTTCATCAATATGTTTTTTCATTATGAGTAATGAAAAACTTTGATAGACTATTTGAAAACAATATTATGTGAATTCGTTCCAAACGAAACATTAATTTTTGTTCATTAAATAATTTAATTTTTCTATATATAATATGACGGATAATCCATATGTGTTGTGATGTTGTCACTAAGAATTTCAAATCAGCGTTACGGATGTGAACGTTGTTAATTGAGTGTATACCACGACGGCCCGAGTACTCTTACTCACGATATAATTATTATTAGTATGCACTATGCTCTTACAGAACTGACGGAATAAAAACGCGTTCAAATCTAAACTAGTCAACATAAGTCAGATAAATACGTGTATTGTACTGTGTACACAGTCGTGGTCGCTGCAGTAGTCATATTAATTAAAATTAATGTCAAGATTTCCGAACTGCTATACGGTATACTTGCTGCAGCACTCATAAATATTGATTTGGTTTGTATGCGCTTAGTGCACACATAGGTAAATGTAGTATTTGATTTATAACGAATATTTTGAGCGAACCGAATTTTAAATCTGWTCGTTGATAATACATATTTTAAATGAACTCTAACAAAATTATATTTTTAAAGCAATTAATACGGATAGAGCTTTTGAATTTTAATACCTTTATATTAATTTTATATACCTAGCGAATATATTTTATATAGGATTTATGTCATAAATTATAATATTTTGTCAGACCATTTTTTTAAATTGTAGTGTTATATTTTAATACCTACTCTATTGTTACGTCAATATCATATTTTACATAAACAAGTCTAGCAAAGTTTTATCTGTAATTAAGTCCAAGYTTATAAATTGTATATAACCTGTAAATAATTGTATATATATTAAGTAAGCTATTGTAAACCAACGCCAATGGCCTTTGACGCCGAGGCTTAATATATATAAAAAAAAAGATTTATCTGTAAATAGTAACTTCAATAACTCACTTATATAGTTACTTGTTTGCATAGGCGCAATTTGGGTTAAATGCATGGAGGTGCTAGGTTTGAGTTGACCAAAGTGACCCATGGGGGGCTTTGCTCCCCACACACCCTTATGACCATACCACGACACCATTTAAATAAAATAAAACACAAATTTAAGGTATATAAAAAAAAATGGTAAATATGTTTATTTRAATATTATATTAAAGGTATACGTCTTTGGGACAAACCAAACTTATTTATTATTTTATCTTTATCAATTTTAGAGCTAAGATCTCTCTCGATATTAATTACAGACAAATCTGTAAATTTGGCTTGCTTCATGCTTGTCCTAAGCCAATTCTTTATACGGYGCATCGACGAAAATGACCTTTCACAGGTAGCCGAACTTATAGGAATTGTTAATCCCACTTGAACAAGTCTATATAAATTTGGAAAAACATCTTGAGTCACCACTTTCTTTAATCCAATTATATCAAAGTCCAAATTTCTGGTTTGCATACAATTTTTTGTCTGCAACATTTCTGCTTTCAATGATGTTAAATTAATATTTACAACATCCTGAAATTMTACCATAACATGATTATTATATTTACAAAATTAACATATATTTCATTAATCACAATAATAAATTATTCCTATGCAGGGTTGTTAGATGTTTATAATTATTATGAATTCAATGAATGTAGAATGAGTTATTATTATTTAGTTTATGAATAACTTACTAACCTTGTAATGATTGATGAAATATGATCCTTGTTCAAAATCCATTTTCATAAACTGGTCTAATGAGTTAGCTAAAACTAAACTTTCATCCAAAAAACGGTACTTTAAATTTACAATAACAGCATCAATTATTTGAAAATAAATGATTTTCCAATGCTCATTGCCAATTGTTCCRCATTCTGTTTCACTTTGCGCTCCAGTTAAAGTCTCGAGATTATAGCTCTGCAAGTGACGTGGCTCTTGACGTTTACGTTTAGATTTTGTTCCTAAGGATGTAAAAGTAAAAATATTAATACTTGGGACATAAAATTAAAAATATCTTATTCTTGACACATTTTTAAATTATGAATTCTTACCAGAGTTTGATAATTCCAATGTTATTTGGTTTAACTGTGCAAATTTCTTTATTTGTTCCCAAAGCTTAAAAAAGCCATCTTCATTTCTCTGATTTTCAAAAGTAGAAATTACACTTTGAATTAAATTACTTGATGTTCCCAAGGTAGCAGATTTAGATTGGAGTTGATTACTTAATACATTTATAATGGATAACACTTCACTCAATATGTGAAGAACTATTATAAATTCTAATTTATTAATAGAACTTAAAATACCTAAAAATCATAAAAGTGAACATTGTCATTAATTTATTTAGTTTAATAAATGTACCTATATATTTAAAACGTTTCTTTTTTTTAAATTTAAGTTTTATAGTGGTATAGGTAGTTTATATAGGTACCCAATGCACGTGCTACATCTTTATCTATTTGTTCCTCAATTTCATCGTTAAGAAGATTAAGAATGCTAGAATAATTTTTCAACATTGCAACGCAATTTTTATATCTGCACACCCATCTTGTATCACATATCCTTAGTACATTTCCTTTATTTAATCCTAAATTTCTTTGCATTTCACATAATTTCTTATTTTTTGATGGTTGTGAAAAATGTACGTATATTGCTTCAAGTACATTAAAAACAAGTTTTGCATTCTGAAAAATATATTAACACATAAAATACCTACAAATCTATAGATTTTATGATTTTGATTTGTTTTAATATTACCTTTATTGTTTTACATGTATCTACAACTACTAAATTAAGGCGGTGTGCCATACAGTGAGTGTATATAGCGTATGGATAACGTTCTTTAATTCTTGATTGAACACCACGTAAGTGTCCAGACATAACACTGGCGCCATCATATGATTGTGCAATTATTTTGATCTTAGACATAGTCAATTTTTGTTTTTCAAAACATTCAAACAGCGCAGCAACGATATGGTTGGAAGTTAGTCTATTTGACACATCAACAAAACATAAAAATCGTTCATATACATCCAAATCAATAGTATATCTTACACAAATTGACAATTGTTCTTCTCTATAACATCTACAATTAAATAAACATTTAATAACTTGAATACATTCAAATATTGAAATTTTATAAAAAAATATATAAAACAAACCTAGCTTCGTCACACATTAAAGCAAAAAAACCAATCTTTTCAATTTCTTTGACAATAATTTCTCTGATGTCCTCTGCACACAATTCAATTAATTGATCTTGAATAGACCAGCTTGTATAATTTGTTGTTTGTAAAAATTTGGCTGATAATTTGATAATAATTTACACAGTTCCTTAAAATTGCCTGAAAATTGTAATGTAGGTATATGGAAATAATCTTGAAAAAATTAACTCATTATTTATAATGATAAATACAATATTACATAATGTTATTAAATATAAATGCAGTATAAAATTAATTTAAGAAGTACCTACCTTGGTTTAGAGAATCTGTGTCTTCTCTGTGGCCTCGATATGCAATACCTTGTTTCCCCAAAAATAATATGTCAATAAGCGTACCAATATAGGTACGGTTTTTGGCAACTTGTTCCTTATAGCCGCTACACTGAACCACGAATATAGATGCAATTGTTTTGATTTTTCCCTATTCGAATTATCCTATCTCTRTTTAAGTCGATGTCCTGTGCACATCGCACACACGTTKGTAGAACAAAAAATATAAATATAGAGAGAAAGAAAATGAATCAATTGTAACTTTTAATAATATATATAAACACTAGTTGAATAACTCGACTGACTTCTCCTGTATGGAAAAGTGGATCCTTCATATATATTATAATAACACACAAAATGCAGTCGTAGTAGTATAATATTATGATAATCGTATTTAACCGCATCGACTTATGATAATAATAATAATAATATATGTCTCGTGTCGGCCACGGTTCTATTCACTGTGCGTATAATGTATACCGTTACGAATCGCGGCATTGCATTGGTTCGTCGTATCTGCCTCGCGATCGGACATAATATATTATTATACCTACCCGTTCGATACACAACGCATACAACGATTCGTTGTCGTTGACTTTTGTCCCGTGCTGTACTGTGCAAACTAAGACTAGGTACGATGAGGGCTGAAAAATCGAAAATTTTAGTCATTATTCAGAGCGTTCCATGCGGTGAACATTAATAATAAATAATAATAATATGGTCTAATTACATTACATTATGTTAACAATAATGTATAATAAATACATTGGACATATTTTGTATAAAATGGTTTTATTTAGATAATAATTTTGTATAGGTTAGTCACTTATTATCCAATTTTTGAATTTAAATTAATTGTTATTCATTAGTAGGTACCTATATATGACTACATCACGCTCTTAAATATAAAGATATTTTGATTTTATTCTGTCAATATTTTATTCCCTAAAATAATATCGTGTCCTAGCTTTCTTGGCCACTGTCAGGTCAAGTTATTTACGTTATAATTACAACTGAA